GTTTCGGATACCTCAGGATAACGTTCGAGAGGGCTCGTAGTTAATATTAACATGGTAGTATAGAGGAAGCGCGTGTTACTCCTACGTAATTTCTAGCTAAACGTGCTAAAGGACGAGGGCATGCATATTTCAAGTAAGCTGCTAGGAACACTATCGCGTTAACTTACACGTCTTTGAGTTTACACATAGTTATTCATTTTAGAATAATTTTTTACATTCTATTATATCAAATTAAATAATTTAACAAATATGAAATTTATAATTATTTAAATATATAATATAAAATGTGTTGCTGTAATGTTAATTTTGATAAAAATTATTAAACAAAATCTTTATATATAAAAATTCAGTGTGACTTTGTTGATTTCCAATGAACTTCGAAATTACTGAACCGATCTTAATGAAATTTTTTTTATTTTGTGCGATTTTGTTCAACTTAGTACATAGGATAGTTTTTATCGCGATTATTTTTATTTTTTATTGCTAATTTAAGGATTTATTATTTAATGGTTATCTAGGTCTCTAGATTGTTTAATTATTCAGTAGTTGGTGTCGTATTTTAATTTAATTATTTATTTTAATTTACATACGACACAACCTTACTTTTTCTATTGTTTCCTGTATTATTATTTTATGTATTATATATATAGTATAATATAAATTATATAAAAATAAAATATAATATAATATAAAATATAAGATATTATGAATTACAATATAATATAAAATATTATAAATAATATAATACATATATATATATATATATATATTAGACATAATAGATAACAAATAAATATTAAGCAATATTAAAAACAATATTAGGAATAAAAATAGTCAAAAAATAAGAATTGACACGAATGTACGGTTAAATTGTTTTTAACCTTTATCGTAGAGTATCTCAAGAAAGATGAGATTAAATCGACTGTTAGGAAGATCATCTATGTTCGAACTTTTTTTCCATGGCAAATAAATGCGACAGATTGCTAAATTATGTTAATACTTTGGCACCGATTGATCGCATCCCAACTGCCTGTTGAACTTTAATAGTCAACGATAATTCTTTCTTCAAAACGATGATACTTTCTATTCTTCATTTTAACTCGTTATATTCAACCACATATAAGAGGCATTCCATTTAAAGTTTTAGAAAATAAAAGTAAGAAAAATGAAAGGAAAGAAAGAATAAATAAATAAAAAAAAGAAAAAAAAAGAAAAAAAGAAAGAAAAAATTGTTCAACGATCCCCTCGCATTCTCGAAGCGAATGTTTTTGAAAGAGGAAAATGAATAACAAAAAAAGATAAAATAAAAAAGAGTAAAGAATAAAAAAAGGGTAGGAAAAGAAAAGGAAAATGTTCTTCGTGTTGTTTCTCTCTCTCATTTTCTTTTTCTCTCGTAATGTTAAGACGTTACGGTTCGAGATTCTTTCGGGTATCCTGCTCTTACGGAAAAGTATATCCTTTATTTGTCCGAGTTGCAGCTGCAACAGCCGGTCGTAAGGAAGAATCGTATCCGTTACACGTATATACATACATAGAAATAACACACACAACACGCAAATGTTGCTTTGCAACGACTACTGTTTTCTCCCTTTCTCTTTTTAGCTTTTGTAAAAGATAGAAAACATTACTATATCACTATTTTATTAGATTAGATATTCACAGCGGGAATGTGCGCAGTAAAAAGAAAGAAAAAAATATGAGGGAACAAGAAAAAGAAGAAGAAGAAGAAGAAGAAAAAATAATAAAAAAGAAAAAAAAAAACAGAAAAAAAACGAAAAAGAAATAAAAAGATAGATCGAGGATTGCTATGGGGGGTGTTCTATGTTTCACCCTTACGTTGGTTGTGCTTGTCGAGAAGAAAACAAACGTGAAGGTTAAGAAAAACATGGAAGTGAACAACGAACGGGGGGAAGGGATGACGTTAAAGGAACTCTATCCTTGCACCTTTAATGCGTCCCATTGCACAAATAAAACGAACTGATACTACGTATCTCTTTCTTTGCTTCTTACAACTTGCATTGCGATATTCCTTATAGAATTGGAGTAGTATTCTATCTGTTCCTCTCTTTCTTTCCTATTTCTCTTTATTTCTTTTTATTTCTTTTTTAAGTTCTGTGTTCTAACTTTACTATCGATGACATTTCGAAATACTTTATTTCTTTCTTGCCTTCTAAGCTATCATTTATTGATCTTTTCGTTTCGAGTAAAGGCAAAGTTTTTCTACGTTGAATTATATATGTATGTATGTATGTATGTATATATGTATGGTTTGACGAGTAAGTTGTTAAAATCGAACAAGAGAAGGCAATTTTATTCTTTCTTTGTTAACTTTATACTTTTTATTTTCTTTTTTTGTTTCGTTAAAAGTACGAGGGATCCATTATTTCTTTATGAAAAAGTTTCGGAGTGATGACCTACTTTAAAAAAATAAAGAGTTCTATATATTGTGTTACATTTTACTCATCTAACGTGTCATTTCGCAGCCTACATCTTTGTACCTCTATTATCAGTATTATTTATTAGATCATTATTATCGTGTTCATCAATATTTAGCAATAACTCTTGTTAATGTTATAAATACTTATAAAAATCTATATGTCTATATACATATATAAAATGAAATATATATATATATATGACATCGACAACGAGTCGTTTCATTTTGAATTGTTATATCATCCTTGTTATATTGACGTTGAAAATAATAAAATTCGAATTCTGAAGAATGAAGCTTTTCAAATTTAGATGGTTCGAGATCCACTTACGAAAACGATCATTTTTCGTGACCCATTGGAAAGTGCAATTATTGTCGAGAGTTGATTGATAAACAATTTCAAATGGATGTGATATATATATAGATAAATAAATATGCATTGGTGAGGAAAATTCAACAAAAATAATAATTCTCATGTGATCTTTAATTGAATTTACTTTGAATTGTTCATTTAGCGATTCTCGACAAATAAAATTTACCTAATGAATGAACACGTTAACTACTCTTTATTTTTAATATTTAACGAAAGACATGTGTGGATCGCGAACCATACTTTTTGAATCTATACTTTAGAAAGAGAGAGCTAGTGAGAGAGAACGGGAGATGAAATTTGCACGGATAACGAGCATTAATGAATGAAAGTCAATGGGAAATGCTATAGTAGGATCGTTCTCTAATATCATTCTAGGGATTAAATTCTCTATACCAGCTTGCATGTACTTGAAATCGTTTGTGTCGTTATGTCGAAATAGCTAAATATACGTCCTTTTGATAGGCTTTAACTAGAGAATTTGTAGTACCATATTTTGAACAAATGCAAATATTCTATCATATTATATATATGCAATCGATAATTATATGATATTGCTTTGATATTACTAAAGTAATTAGAAAAATTATTTTTAAAATCTTATGTATTATTAATCGTTTAGAATCTAATCATCATGTAGTATTGATTTTTTACAAATTTGATATAACATAATTGAGATGATGTATATGTTAATATTACAAAATAATTAAGATTATATACTAAAACGTAATACGTTTGTTCATATAACGTTTGATCAATTTATTGGTGATTCTTTGAAAATTACATGACGTGTTTATTTTGATGCATGTTTTGATATTACAAAATAATTTGGATTATGTATTAAAATGTAATGTTTTACTCGTATAAATAATTGAATTGATTTATCGCGTAGACTTTTGAAAATAATGATGTAAAACGATGAATATCTGATCAAGTTAATGCCTTAATATTAGAAAATAATTGGTGAATAGATAAATAAAATGTAATGTATGCTCGTATAACAGCTGTGTTAGATCGATCTATCGCTGACTCATGAAAAGCTAGCGAATTTTCAAACTGTTGGAATAGTACTACTAGCTATCCAAGGCCAAGTGATCCTAAGAGGAATCTTATGATAGGATTATCCTTCCAAAGGATAACGTTCGTGCTCTTCTTAGAGTGGAACGATAGTAGTAGTAGTCAGACGAGAGAAAACGATATCGGATCGTTGCGTTTCGATCTATCTGGTAAACGGATGGTATACCTTAAGAGGAGACATAGTAAGAGATAGACAAAAAAAGGGATAAAGAGATGGGAGAAATAAGAGAAGAGTAGAGAAGAGAAGAGTTTTGTCAAACGAAAAAAAAAAGTAAAAAAGGAACAATGACCATGTGTATTTCACAGAGAGCCAGAAAACGCGCCCTGAGAAACGAATAAGAGTGAACTAACTTCGCATATATACTCTCTTAACATACATACATACATACATACATACATACATACATACATACATACATACATACATATATACATATGTAGTTCCCCTGAGTTTCGTCTCATCCTTAGAGTTTTTTCTTTGAACTTGCATAATTTGGATTCGGGGTCTCGAAGAAAATTAAAAACGAGATGGAGAGTGAGGATGGAGGTGATGCTTGGATGAAAATGTTCTACTGTTTGAATGAAAAGAACCGAAGAAGAAGAAGAAAAAGAAGAGTTGATTGCGATGAGAGGAAAGGTAAAAGAGGGAACAAAGAAAAAGATCAATATAATAATAATATATATATATACACATACATATATAGATACCTATAGAGTAACAAATGTTAAACAAGTAAATCAAGTAATCAAATCAAATCCTGTAAGCTTCAAATATAATAATACATAAAAGCTGATATTAAAATTATAAACAAATATATTTTATAAAAGCGAGAGAGAGAGAGAGAGAGAGAGAGAGAAAGAGAGAGATAGAAAGTGGATTAGAGAGAGAGAAAGAGAGAGAGAAGAAATATGGTTGACGATGAGAAATGACATTTCCATGAATGGACCGAATGTTGGAAGATTAAATGAAAGGAAACAGTATACGTGAGTGAACGTGTGTAAATGTATGAGTGAGTAAGTGAGTGAGTGAGTGAGATAGAGATAGATAAAGAGAGATAGCGAGAGAGAGATAAAAGATGGAAGGGTGTACGAGGTCAGGTGAGAGAATGAAAGCCTCACCTGTACTGTAACCACCACGTAGTTTCTGTTCAGGCCTGTCGACCCTCTCTTCGCTCGGTGGCGATGGTCTTTCCGTCCTTTTCGGATAGTACGGGTTGTACGAGGATGGCCACACGGTGGTCGGCCTTTTTGCTGGTGGGGGTGTGCTCGCTCGTCCTGAAAATAGATTAGGACCTTTTCTCATGTGTGACCCAGGTATAGGATACGCGCAACTAAAGCGCACAAATTTTCTGTGCAATTCTCTTCTCTAGGAGAGGATTTTTCATACCTTCTTTTTTTCTTTTTTTCTTTCTCTCTTTCTATCTCTCTATTTCTCTCTTCTTTTTTTTTTTTATTCCTTTTTAGGTGTTAGTTTTTTTACTGAACATTTATCTATGGTATAACATGTACGTGTGTAGAATATATGTATATATATATATATATAAATAGTTATCTCTCTTTATGTTTTTTTGATTAATTTTTGGTTTGGTTTGATTAATTCTCAACTTTATTTTAATACATTATCTTAAATATTGATTTATGGTATTATATTCGTCTATCTTTCACACACACTCTCTCTCTCTCTCTCTTTCTCTCTTATTTTATTCGTTTATTTTAATACTTGCACTTTTTGATTGATCGTTGTGTTAACATGTTAAACATTTGTTCTATAGTGTTATGTATATAGATATATATATATTTGTTTTTTTTTCTTTTCGTTCATCGATAATCCAACATGCACAACCACCTTTCTCTCTCTTTCTCTTTTTCTCTTTTTCTTTTTTTTTTATTATTTCTCTTTACACAGCACTATTCTACATGACGCGTAGAGAAGGCCGTCGCGTGCAATGTGCATTCAAACCGGATTCGCGTCGATGTATCGAACTCAAACGTATTCAAATGGATGTTGAAGCTTTTTTTTTCTTTTTTTTTTTTTTTCTAGCGAGAAACGGAGATTAAAGAGCGTCAGCGTTGTCTTCTGTCAGCTAAAAAAAACCTTCGAGTCCGTGACTGCCAGGCAGACGATCTTTTCGGCTTCCATCGTGGGCTTTTTTTTTCATTTCAAAACGGTCGATCATCGTCTCTTGTTGTTTTTTTTTTTTTTGGTTGATGGTGTTGTTGTCTTTGTCATTGTTATTGTTGACAGTTGTTGTTACTGTTGTTTTATTTGTTGTTGTTGTGTTAGTTTGTAAATCTGTGTTAGTTTAATCGAAGAGATTTCGCGAGAGAGAATAAGTGTTATCGGTCTAACTCTTTGTTTTTTCTTTTTTCCTTTTTATCGTTTCATTCTTGTATTATATAGTGTTGAGTATGTAAAGGATTTTTTAGAAGGATTAGAATTAAAAATGTATTATATTTAGAAAAAAGAAAGAAAAAAGAAAGAAAAAAGAAAGAAAAAAGAAGGAAAAAAGAAATTATTTGTAGTAAGTAAGTAAAATGTCTTTGTGCAAAATGTGCATTATTTTTTTAATGTGTTCAAAATTAATTTCTATATATTTAAATATATCGATAAGAACAAATTAATTGTACTTAAACAAGTTAATAATTAATATTATTTTAATGAAAATTATTATCTCTCAATGTAAGGGTATAATAAAATAAATATAATAAAATATATAAAATATATATATAAAATTATAATAAATATATTACTATAATATTATATGTAATAAAATATATATAAAAATATTAATAAAATATTAATAAAATATTATATATATATAATATTTTTATTTCTAAATAAAATCTAATTGTAAAAATAATTGAAAGAAAATTTGGTTTCTTAGTCGTAGTTTGATCTCTTTCAAAATGTTAAAGCCAAGTATCTATAATTTTTCAATCGGGATATAAGGTAAGAATTGAATACAATCGGTCGTTTAAAAGTGACGGTGCAAAACGAGCTTTCGCGTGTTAGCTTGATGAATTCCAACAGCTTCTTTGAAAACGAGCCAAGTTCAACTTGTTGCATTCGATGTCCCAACGATCGTTGTCCCATCGAACGGACAAAGCACGCTTTCGCGCGAGAAAATCAAACGGAATGTCTACCTTCGTTTGGTATTGTTCGATCTTTACGAATAACCTTTGTTCTTTTTTACAACTAGTTCACAATCCAAATCTTGATTTCGCGATGCAAAGAAGTTGCATTAGTGAACGTCATATTACTTTTGTTGAGTAGATGCATGAATGTTTTTTCATTTTATATATTCCTCAGATATCTAGCAATTAATACTTTGCACTCGAGGGCTTTGCTATAGAGACAATAAATAAATAAATAAAAAAATGAAAAAACTATAGCAAATTAAATTTAGTTTACAACATATCAACTATGAGACTTTTCTTTGAATACGCATATTATCATTTACTTATAATATGTAAATATGATTTTTCTATCAAAATTGAGTTGCTGATAATATGAATGAAAAAAAAACTTCGAGTGCAAAGGGTTAAATACTATAAATATAGTCAGTGACGTTACACCCAATATATTTCGCAACTCATATAAAACTTATGACGATGAAAATAATTTTAATTGTGTATTTTATAACAATCAATATGATATAAAACGATACGTGTCGACGTATGCAACATTAATGAAAAAGTTGAACAAAATTCTAAACTACGATTAACCTGTGTGAGTGAGAAAAAAAAGAAGAAGAAGAAGAAGTTTCAAAAAACTATCCTCGCAAGCTGTAAGGATAAAAAAAAATAAAGAAAATTTAAGGACAAAGAAAAAAAAAAAAGAAAAGAAAAGAAAACGAAAAGAAAACGAAAAGAAACAAAAAATTCATTCAGTTTAACTCCCGAAAACTAATATAACAAAGTTAAACGGTAGAATAAATTGAAACTTTTTGAGAAAGACGATAATTCTTAAAAGTCAGGGGGCTGTATTGTATTTCTTGGGAAAGACTTAGCTCACACAACGTGTGATGTCCGACAAGGGGCCCGTATATTTTTATACGCTCTCGGCGCATCTTACCCGCCTAAGATAGTGCTCCACTTATCTCGTTTCCCATAATCGTCTGGATTATACAAATTGCGATCTTTTGCGAGTATGACGTAGAAGAGAAGAGAGGAAAAGAGAGGAGAGGAATATGATGGGGTGGGAGACTATGGCACAAGAGGGGGGGGGGAGGGTTTGTCTCTAGCGTGTATCGCTGAAAATTCTTGAGAGAAATTCTAGTAAAAAGTACTACCAGTATCTCGAGATTCTCATCCGCCATTTTCTTTTCCATATATATATATATATATATATATTACCTTTCTCTATATTTAAGTAAGTATATATATATATATATGTATATATATACATACGCGCGAGTTAGATATGCATGTATTTTTCTATATAGAAGAAAAGTCTAGGACAAGTCCCTTCTTCTTTTTCTTCTTTCGTACACCAAGGCCCTTTGCGAATACTTTTCTATCCTCCTTTTTTGTGTTTTCTTTTTTTCTTCTATCTCTCTCTCTCTCTCTCTCTTTCTCTTTCTTTCTCTTTGCCATTTTCCTTTTTGGCTTGCAAACAACCAGGACGCAAGGTCGCACGGCATCCAGCAGGATGCGAAATGATACTAAAAAGTTTTCGAATAAAAGTTTAAATACGCGGGACGAACTTAGTTTTGTGCTTCTTTCTCTTTCTCTCTCTTTCTCTCTTTCTCTCTCTCTCTCTCTCTTTTTCTCTTTTTCTTTCTTTCTGTCTATGAGTTGGTCTTCGGATGGCTGCTTAACAATACGCAGCCTCCTCTTTTGCGAGTTGCCTTTATATCAGAACTTAGCGAACCATCCCATACACATAAACACACATAAACACACATAAACACACATATTTTTACACGTAGGTATACATATACTACTAGATACCTGTATATATACTAACTGTTATCTATTTATTTTATATGTATATATAGTATATACGCATAAGTTCTCATCTCTTCCCAGTTTCTCTCCTTCTTTCACGCGTGAAATAATCCTATGAAAGTAGACTCGTATTTTATCCACTTTCTTAGTCTTCTTTGTGGTTTCTTCTTTTTCTTCCCCCTCATCTTTTTTTTCTTCTTCTTCTTTTTCGTTTTTTTTTTCTTCTTAAGAATACTTTTAGATTTTTCAACAAAATAATTAACCATTTCAAAAACTTTTCAGGATTTAATTGAAGAAATTAATAAAATGACTAAAATCGTGTAATAATTGTTTGTTATTAACCGTTTTTACTCGAAGTTTTATTTTTCATTTTATATATTATCAACAACTCACAAAACAATTTTACTAGAAAAATCATATTCACATATTATATATATATATATAAATAATTGATGTATGAGTATTCAAAGTAAAGTCATAGTTGATATGTTGTAGACTAAATTGAATTTGCTTTAGTTTTTCTTTTTTTTTATTAAATAAATAAAATAAAATTAATAATTAATAATAAAAATAATATATTATTATTATTATTATTATTATTATTATTATTATATTATTATTTTATATATTTATTATTATTATTAATTAGCATTAGGAACTCGAAAGTTCATTGCCGCAAATACCAAATCCTGTCATTGTTCCCGTTCCCAGGTGCGATATATATTTATATTAGTTATATAATTATTAATATTATTATTAATTTTATTTATTGTCTCTATAGCAGAAACTTCGAGTGCAAAGGGTTAAATACAAAAATAAGAAACAACCAAAAGGCACGATAAGAGATAATTAAAAACAACGAGGAAATCAAAGATTTCAGATAAATTTTTGTCAATAATAATTGTTTGGAAATTTTTAATGATTATTTTGAATTCTACTGTAATAATTTTCTTTTCAATTGACCGACAAATCAAATTGATTATAATCTGCATTAAATCGCAAGAAAACGAATCTTTTATTAAAAGACCGATCAGTTACATTATAAATAGATCTTTTAAAAGTTCAGCCCGTATGTTAATTGTTAATGTGATCGATCGTATGACATTTAAAGAATATTCTTGCATTGTCTCGTTTGGTTACAGTAAATTGTAAACTCACATACACACACACACACTTACTCTCTCTCTCTCTCTCTAGTGGGGCAAAAGGCAAGGCCAGAAATAATTTTGGTTTCCTTGTCAGGTGATAATTAATTACGGGCTGTAGGATCGATTGGTGTCCCAGGAGAAAAGAGAAAGAGAGAGAGAGAGAGAGGGAGAGAGAGAGAGAGAGAGAGAGAGAGACAGGGAATGTGTCGAGGTATTATTAAACATCGCGTACCTACTCTAGACGGACTAATCTATCTATCTATTTGCCTATCTGCCTACTACTTCTCTCTCTCTCTTTCTCTCTTACCCCTTAATCATATCTATCTATCTCTATCGTGTTGAAAGCACGTTGGGAATTAGGCAGGTTGGATGTAGGGACGAGTAAATTCATCTACGTTAGGCAAAATCGATTCAGTTTGTAGAAGAATCGAACGAACTAGTGAAATATCTAACTTTCTATACAAGACTCTTGTTAGAGTTGTATCTGCTGATAGTGTTATTGGTGAGTTAGATTGAAGGAAAAAAGAGGTAGGTAGGGATAAGGGGTGGTGTTGCTGTTGCTGCCATTGCTGTTACTTTCCCCGTCTCTTTATGGATCCATAAAGCCGTGCCACCGGTATTGTAATATACTACGGAAAAAGGGATATTTCGAGACTCGAATAACAAATACCTCTGTCGATCGTCTAACCATCTCTTTCTTTCTTTCTTTCTTTCTTTCTTTCTTTCTTTCTTTCTTTCTTTCTTTCTATTCTATTCTTTTCTTTTCTTTCCTATAGAAGGCTTCCCTACTGAATAATTCCTATGCCGAGAAATACTCTCTTTCTTCTCCTTCTTTCTTCTCCTTCTTTCTTTCTTTCTTTCTTTCTTTCTTTCTTTCTTTATGTCTTTCATTATTTTTTCTTATTCGTCGTCTCGCGAGAGAATATTCGATCATGTCCGTGGTAAAAAAGAGTATCGGTTCTCCCCACCACTCTCTCCAGCCTCTCTTGAGTTTTCATTTATATTTTCGATCCGATAAAAGCAATAGAGATTGCTGGTTCATCGGGCATTTAGTGTTCTAGAAAGAAAAAAAAACCGTTTCATTTTTATTTGGTTCCTTTTATCGATGTTAATAATTAAAGATTCTTCAGTCACGTAATGAAACGTCCTCTTTCTTTTACGGTTTATAAACCGTCTTTAACAATTTAGCGATATCCTTTATACTCTGTTTTCTTTTAGTGGGTATTTTATTTTTTCTTTGTTTCTTTTCTTTTTCCTCTTCTTTTTTAATTCTTCTTTCTTTTTCCACACCTTTCTATTTGTCTTGTTCTTTTTCTTTCTCTTTCTCTCTTGTATATGCTGTATTCGCAAGCGGTGCGGTAATTGAATTTTAAATGCGCTTAATTAGGTCACCGGTTAAGCCGCCAATGTAATGTCACGATATAAAATTAAAATCTTTTGTCGACTTTCGACGTTTTCTTCTTACTGTCCGTGACCGGTCCGCGTGTCTTGCAAGTAAGGGGTAGGAAGGGAAAAGCTGGCTTGATTGTGAGACAGGCTAACTCAAAAACCAATTAAACTTTCATTTTTGTGCTAGGGCGAGAGAAAGAAAAGAGGGATTAGGGTTGAAAAGGGGGAGTGCGGGGGTGGGGACGATCGTTAACTCGTAATGTCGAGAGAAAGAATTAGCCGCTTTGCTGCTGTATTTAAAATGAACAACGGGGATCTTGAAGTATTCAAGATCGGTGTTCTTTCTTTGGTTATATCATACTCTCGAGATCATCTTGTTAAAGTTCGTGATATTGTACACTCTTGTTTTACAATTTACATTTATCTCGTCTATCAATTATTATTATTATTATTATTATTATTATTATTATTATTATTATTATTATTATTATTATTATTATTATTGGTATATCTATCTATCGATNTATTATTATTATTATTATTATTATTATTGGTATATCTATCTATCGATCTATTCACCTATCCATCTATGTCTGTCTGTCTCTCTCTCACTCTCTCTCTCTCTTTTGCATTATTTCTCTGGAGAGTTCGTATTCCCTTCGATTTTGTGTCACGTACGTTCTAGCGACGAATACTCACGCAATTATTACGCCATTAATCTCGTGCCAATTATCGAGTGGAAATAAATATCTATTAAGGTAGAAGTGTGAGAGAGAGAAAGAGAAAGAGAGAGAGAGAGAGAGAGAGAGCGAGAATCGGGGAAACGAATGAATATGTCGATGAGGGTTCGTTAAACGTGACGTATTGGCGCGACGTTCGAACCTCGTAATATTCCCTCTTAACGAAGCACAGCGTACGTATATTAATTCGTTTCGAGTTGAATTCGTTCTCGAGTGAAAAATTTTTATTTATTCAATGGTTGCTTCGACGAAAAATGTGAGAGTAATAGATAGATAGAGAGAAAGAGAGAAAGAGAGATAGATAGAGAGAGAGAGAGAGAGAGAGAGAGAGAGAGAGAGAGAGGGGGTGGAAATTTCAACGAACGTATTTCATAGAAAGATACGAAACGTAGAAACATTTCTCGTAATGAGTTTTCTGTGGACACGCACAATTTCTCTCGTGTCATTTCAAAGTTTTATTTCACAAGCCGTGCCATAATAAGATTATAAAATAAATAGTGACGTAGCTGCCGTTATCACCGGTGAGAGTGAAAGAGAGAGAGAGAGAGAGAAAGAGAAAGAGAGTAAGTTATTTCACGTCAAGCTCGACGACCTCTCTTGTTTTATAAAGAAAGATGGAAAGGATCGTATCTAATTTTTACTTTTTCCTATTTTCTGCTTGAGAAAGAAAGAAAGAATAAAAGAAAGAGTAATTGAGAGACGAATACACCTACTTAAGAATTTAACTCTAACGTATTCAATGTCGAGTATAGAATTCGTATGTACTATAATGTTTTTTTTAAAAAGAAAAATTTACTTAATGACACCATTCCGAGATTAATTAATAGCAAAGTTATTTAAAAATGCAATGGTAAAAGACGGTTCGTTAAGAATATCCAATTTTTTTTTTTAAGATACCTGAGAATCAAAGAGAAATAAAAATAGTTCTACCTAATTGAAATGATTCTTTGTCAGATCTATATAAATGTATTTTCAAGTTTCATATATTATGATTTAACTTTGACAAAAAAAAAAAAAATAAAAGTGTCTACATAAGTTAAATATAGTATCCATACGTATTAAAAAGAAATTTTCGATTAGTAAGATTGCGATCAATAATAATTAAGCATTCCAAAAGGCAATAATAATCATTTATTAGAAACACCGTGAATGAGAGAGAAAAGGAGGAGGAGGAGGAGGAGGAGGAAGGATGTGTAACAATAATCCGCGTACCGTTGAACCTTAGTAAAAAGAGGCAGAGAAGGAGATGAAGGGGCCGGTTGGGGGGCTAAGGGGGTTAGTAGAAATAGTGGTGCACGGTTATGCGGTAAAATTGTAAAGCTTAATGGTGGTAATACCGTCGTGACTGTGCCTTGTATGGCGTTAATAATGCAGTATATTGAGATTGGTTTCGTGAGACCGAGAGATGGTAGAAGAGAAGCAAGAGAAAGAGGGTACCTTATAGTAAGGTACGTAAGAGTAAACGAGGGAGAGAGAGAAGGAGAGAGAGAGGGAGAGAGGGAGAGAGGGAGAGAGAGAAGGAAGAGAATCGAGGGCAGAACCGAGGGCAGAACCGAGGGCATAACCACTGGGACCTGACCTAGGCATCCGCCCAACTTATTCGCGATGCTTTAATAATACAACTCCCAGTGTGCATAGTGCACCGCTATGACTAATATAAAGATCACTTTGAAAAGATTCTACAGTGCCTTGGGCCATCTATTCCACCCCATGCTTCCATACCTTTCAACGCTATGTCTTCTTGCATTAAGAACAATGGACGAGTGTTTGGGTACGAAAACGGATAAGTCGATTAATTTATCCATCGAGACGTGATTTACGATTTTAACGCCTTTTCCCACCCTTCCTCAGTCAGTCATCATGAGAATTAAAATTGGAATTTAGCGAGAAATAACTATAACGACAGTTTTTTCTTTTCTATATCAACGTGTTGATCTATCCTGTTTGTTACTTTGTGAAAAATTATTTTGTTATATCGGTAATCGAACGTGATAGTTAAATTTGCAAGATTTTAACTCGTGTCATTTAGTATTTTGTTTGTTTGTTTAATAAGGCGAATTGAACGATTATTGTATAATTATTATTGAGAGACTTCTCACCTTCTTTGTTGGCGCTGCTCTTGATCTCCGTTGCTTTGGGTGGCGCCGAAGGTTTAGGAATTTCTAGAAAAAGTAATCATCCATTTTGTTAAATCACATTATATCTTACAATTGAATTAATTTTCTAGAGTATCAAGTATATATCGAAACTTTTGAATAATGAAAATTATGCAGAAAACGATTATCTGGAACTGAGTATATTTTGTTCAAAGATTTTTCTCTTTTTACTTTGACTCATTCTTTACAGAAAAATTCTACAAGATGTTGCATGTATATAACTTGGTACAATAGTATCACAAAAAAAACTTACCATAAAGCCTAATAGAACCTTCGGTCTCTCCTAAAGAATTTTTACTGATGCATCGATAATTTCCAAAATCACCAGCTTGAAGATTCTTTATATGTAATTTCATATGAGCCCTGTAGCTATTTTCCATTATACTAGTTGTATATTTCTCATTGGAAAGTATCATTTCATTTCCTTGAAACCAATAGCTCATTGCTCGTGGAAATGCTTCGGTGTGACAATCGATTGTCACGTTGGTACCAGCTGGTGCTCCGACCAATTGATTTGGTACGAAGATCATTGGTGAAACTATATTGTAAAATGATATAAAATAACTAATTAAGAAATATTTGATTATAAATTTAAATACAAAATCTATGAAATTTATCTCATTATCGATTGACGCGATATTTTAACGAGATTAATATTTTTTTCCTGTCTTTCTAATTTTCTTTTAAAGTGAAAATTTCTTTAGAATGGGTGTGATTTGAAAAAATGAAATACGGTGATGTAGTGGGGAAACGAAACGAAAATGTGCGCCTGTATGAATGCAACCCTTTAGACAAGAAAGACGAAAGATAGGCAACCCGTCATACATACGTGTATAAACAGTTTTGACTGCAAAAAAAATCTGTCTCAGTAGATGTCGCTCGCAAGCAACATTTTCAAAGTGTGTCTGGAGTGTTGCATACGAACAGGCGCGCATTTTTATATTTAAATTAATAATTAAATATATAATTACAAATTAAAAGTACAAATAATATTATAATAATATTATAGAATAAATTATCCTCGAAACTTGTTTATTTGAACTTTTAACTTGTGTGATATGCACACATGTTTTTTTTTTGTTTTCTTCGGGGTTATTGTTGTTTTTTTAACAACGGTGGAAGAGAGTAACATTATTAAATTGTAGATGTAGATGTATACATAAGAACATAAGGCTTACACTTTCCTGGACGACTTTCAGTGCGAGATACTCCATAGTTGGAAACGAGTTGGAAACAAAGTCAATTATCGTTTGCTCGAGACTAGGATTGCGAACATGCTCGAGTTAAAGTCGAACAGTAGGGGATGTCGCATAGATGCTTTCTTCTTCTTCTCTTCTTTCTCTTTCTTATTTTACTTCAATACAATGGAAAAAGTCAGAAGATGAAAGTGACCTTTTCGCATTTTCCCTTTTTTTTTTTTGGTACTTTTTTTTCAAACGATATTCAACAACAACGATTTCCTTCGATTCTTTTTCTTGGTTTTTTTTTTCTTTTCTTTTTTTATTTTTCTTCTTCTACTTCTTTTTCTTTTCCGTTTATTTCTAGAGATACTAGACTTTGGTAAAATGGGTACTGGAAAGTTTAGAAAGGTTTTACTTTGATGCATCGTTGTAATAAAAGAAAATGCTATTTTCATAATTAGATTGCACAATGAATAGAACGAAAGTGTAGTTTCATTTTTTTTTATTAGAAAAATATTTATGGAAAAAATATATTGAACAAAATAAGTAAATACAATAATCTCCCCTATAACACGGTACTCTTATAATGCATTTTCATATTACGCGATTTCGTGTCCTTCGTATAACGCGGGCAGTCCCCACTTTTCACGAGAAAAGTTAAACGTGAATCATTTGTACATAACGTGTTATACAAGAACCAATATACCTTGTTATAGGGGGGATTACTGTAATTGGAATTATAATTAGTGTTTCGGTAGTGTGTAAGTAGATAATTGTAGAAATAATTCTTTAGTATCCTCGATTGTTCGTTCCTAGTGTGTCTTTTTCCTTCGTTCATTCGTTTTCTCTTCGTTAGAGGATAAATTTAAGCTTCAACAAGAGTAAAGGAACGTTTTCCCTGGTGAAACATACAGTAGTAGAAGGAATAGAAGTACCTTGGTCTTAGATTAATTTAGGTCTAACTAACGACTCGTTGGAAACTCTGTCGAGAGTACATGAAGAAGAAGTAGCTCGAGAGGTTGAAACGAATGGAGACAACGGTGGGTGAAAAGGTGTTGGGTATAGTTGAGAAGTGGCTATTAGTAGTGGACTAAGGAGAAAGAGGACTCGATGTTTCTACCGGAAAATCGAGGGGAAGTATGCGTTAATTAGGGGTCAGCACCAGTAATTTGCGGATTTGTGGGAAGAGGTTGAACGCATGCTATAGCAATAGTACTACACTACTTGATATACAGGACCCAATGGAGATGGTTGATATACTTTTGTATAGAGGATGTAACTCATCCGTTCATTCGGTATCTCGTTAAATCGTTAATTACGGTTTATAGATTAGTTGCTTTTGTTAAATACCAATTAAAAGAGTTAACAAGTTAGAAATACGTCGACGCTGGGCTTTAATTTAATCCAAAAGGATTATAATTATATTATATGATTTTTCATTTTATTCTTGCATTATAATTTGGTTTGACAGAAAAGATATTAAATCACTGATGTCCGGTATTAAAAATTTCATTCGTATAATATAATATATTCATTTTTTAGAACGAAATAACGTTTTTTGATTCTTGTTAATTGTACGAGCGTGTACTATTTCATTTTTAAATATTTAGTTATAAAATAATAAATTATTATTTTATCTAATGGAGAAAAGCCCAAGGTCTTATCTGTTTTTCAATGTTTTCTCAAAATAAGCTTATTAGTAATAGGAGAAAATACATTAGAGTTTCTTCGTTTGTTTTATGGTAAAGCGTATGAATTCGAAGAAGTGGGTACGGACCGTGGGATTTCTCTTTCTCTCTACTGTGAACAACGTCAGTGTTTATTTTTAATTAAGTAGATTAACTAGCCGAGTGCACCGCTCAAATGTACGAGAGTCGACTAAGAACGTAAAAGAGTCTTATACGCCCGAAGTAAACTTTGTCATTATTTTTTTCTCATTATTGAGAGGGTGGTTCCCTTTCCAATTTTATTATTTGTCAAATTTATTATATTATTTTAAAACTTCTAATGGATCCTTTTAAACAAAAGTCTCAAACATCATCAAAAAGCCAAATTTTTCTATGAGTGACATACGAGTTTAAAAAAAAAAAAGATACTTTTACGTAACACAAAAGAAGGATGCACATATGCATGTGGATGTCAAATCAAAAGTTCACTACGGACGCTTCTCGTGTTTGTGTGTGTTTTTTAACAATTTTCAAAATATTATTCCTGATAAAACATCGCATTCAAAGAGAAAAAATAAAGTATAGTGCTTATTCTGTAAACCTAACATAACATAACACTGATAAGACTTTCAACGCGAATTCAGGGTTTATAGTTGTTGCCTGCTTATATAGTTTCAAAAAAAGCAAAGCATTGAGCCACTATCTTATCGCACAGAGGATATATTATATTATTATTTTAAAACAGTCTCTCTCTAAGAATTTCAAGTATGTAAGTTAAATTTAAAACAAAATAAACTAAGAAATTATTTCATTAAATCGTAGTAACTAGTAATTTATCTTCATTAATTTTACGCTAATACGTAATCTTACGTGCTACAAAAGTTTTGCATCAAATTGAAATTAAAATATTATTCTCGAAATTGAGCATTTTAAATTCGAAAAGGAAAAAAAGATAAAAAGGAAAAAGAGAAATGTTTGTAATAAAAGATAGTGTCTAGTGGTATGTAAGAATAACATAACATTGGTAAAACTTTCGTCGCGAATTTCGTGTTTCGAAGCAAAAGCATTGTTTCCACGTTGGTCCTTTAAATAAAATATATTTCGTCCGATCTAAATATTTTACGAATAAAGTCGGCTTGTGCTCTTGCCTACCATCCTTTCTTTACTTTAACAGGTAAAGAAAAAGACGAGAAAGAGTATATATACCTACATACATATATATATGTACCCAATATACATTGTCCATTTTCACGTATGTATATGTGCACACGTATGCGGGGTAAATGTAAAGATACACGACCACAAAGCGAGTGCAAGCATAGGAAGTGACACGAACGAATGGAACGCATAAAAGGGAAAAATGAGCAGAAGCAGAGGGACGCTTGTGCAAGGATCCCCGTATTTCCCTCGGGCTTTTCCAACGTCACCGTCTCCCCCCTTCACCTCTCTTTTCACGATTCACCACCACCATATTACCACCAACATCACCACCACCATTCACCACAGCCTATGAAGAAATTCTACTTGCTGATACTTTTTTTTTGATACTTCTTTGTCTTCGTTATTCGTCAAATGAAATTTAATCAATATGTCTTTATACGTTTTTATTCTTATATTCCTTTTTTATTTTTCTTATTTTAACGTTTTATTAGATTTATGTAAATTTAATATCTTTTTTATTATACTATAAGAAATAGAGTTTTTATATTTTTCAATTTTTAGTTTTGTCAATGATAAATTTTTGGAATATATATATACTACGGTTTTTCTGTTTCGAATTATTTTTATGAAATTAAAAATCAATCATTACTTTAATCTGATAAAATATTAGTTTATATCGTAAGTTCGTTGGTTTTCGAATAATTAATAATTTTCTTTTGAAATAATCGTATTCTCCTTTTCGTCATTTACTTTTGAATCCTATTGAAAGAAAAGTTTAAGAATCAACAGGTTCACAATCGTTCCTATCGTATCTCACGTCATGCATTTACATTCGATGCATTCCTTTTCATTGTCTGCCATTGGAAATCTTCATCTTATTCATCCATTCTTTTCCCTTTAATATTCAGACCTTTTAGTTTCTCCATCTCTCTTTATTTTTCTCTTTTTGTACGTCTCAGTGTGCTTGTGATAACCAAGAAAAGAAACTTTCTTCGATGAAGTTTTTCCGATGAATTACTTCAACGCTTGTTGCACCATCATTACATCTCTCTTCGTAGAATATTAGAGAAAGTTGATATTGAAGAATATAACTAAATCTTGATGTATTCAATTTCATTCGAATGCTACTAAACTCATTTAAGTTTTCTTTTAATATTATATTTACTGGGCTTATATAAAATTATATCTATATATAAATAACTAATATATTTAAGATTGTCATTGATTTTATCTCAAATTATTTTTATATAAGAATTACGTATATTTACGTATATTAATATTAATATAAAATAGAGTATATATATTAATTAACCCTACCGCATAAACAGAATTTGGAAGAAAGAATTATATTATTTCTTTATGAGAATAATAAAAGTAAAAAAAAAAATCAAACGATCGATGAGATTAATTTCTCGTTAATTATAATTGTAAATTATGATTATATAAAATTTAGAATTCAATATATATTATACCTATATATAAATAACTAATATATTTAAGATTGTCATTGATTTTATCTCAAATTATTTTTATATAAGAATTACGAATGTTTACGTATATTAATATGAATATAAAATAAAGTATATATTAATTAACTCTACCGTAAAAAGAATTTGGAAGAAAGAATTATTTTATTTCTTTACGAGAATAATAAAAGTAAAAAAAAAATCAAACGATCGATGAGATAAATTTCTTGTTAATTATAATTGTAAATTATGATTATATAAAATTTAGGATTCAGTATATATATATATATAAATAACTAATTATAAATTGAGCATGATTAATACGAAATGATTATAATACAAATTCTATCAAATAGATTGTTTTCAATTTGGAATCCTTTTATATATAAATCACTTAATTTGAAATGATATATTATGATATTTGTTTCTTCTATTTGAATATCGGATTTAACAGGGAATCATCAACGACTTACATTCAACATCAACGGTGATCCTTTTGCTGACTGTTGGTGGCACGCCATTGCTTGCTATACATAGATATGCTCCCATTTCATTGCGTGTAATCCTCGTCAAATTTAATTGCTCGCCTTCGTATTTGTTTACTAAAATCAGATACAGGAATTTATTAGTTTGATCGTTTTAACCACCTAATTATCGTACGATTTAATATGTGCAATATAAATTGTTATAAAAGTGAAACATATTCATCATTCGATTAGACAATTATACAACTTAATAATAAACAATATAATTTAAGAATTTAATTATTATTATTATTATTATTTTATATTAGTATATTAATGAATTGATAATATTAAATCTGTTTAATACTGTGATATATTAATATACTATACATAATACTATAAATTGATATACTTATAGTATTATTATATAATAAATACTTCATATTTATTAATATAATAAATAAATAATATTATATATATTATATTATATGTAAGATTCGTGAAAAAAAACTGGACCGCTGGACCGACTGCTGGACCGGGACTCGAACCACGGATCTTTCGCTTTCCGGGCGATTGCTCTTTAACCAATTGAGCTATCCAGGGCCCACTGACCAGTTCCCTTCCACGAATGCTTATCAAGTTTGGCATGGAGGCGTTCGTCCCACATATATAATATTTAATATTTTTTTAATTTAAAAGTAGTATTTATAAATATTATATAGTATTATAATAAATATTTAATATTTATAATATAATAAATAAACAATATTATATATATATATATATATATATATATATATATATATGTGGGGTGTGTTGAAAATCGAAGAGGTTGTGTGTGTAAA